GTAGCAACATCAGCTGACTGAGCTCCTGCTCAACAACCTGGAGGTAAGGGAATAGGGCTGTGCGAAGCTTTGGTCCCTGATTCGATTCAGCGGAGATTCAGCCCGACTCGATGGCCAAATCGCTGAATCCAAATCAAATCAGAGGACCCTTTAATTTTTCCGAATCGAATCGGAACCCTCCAACTTGATTTGGAGAGATTCGGCGATTCGGATATAGACTCAATTTTAAATGTTTTTTCTACATACCTCTAGGTAGCAGGTGCCTCATAAATGCTGTGATGCTGGGGCAGATGGAACATCCCCCAGAAGTGCAGGGGGCTCCCCAGCGTGCTTGGCAACAGACCTGGAGTGGACCAGAAGCACTTCTGGTCCACTCCAGGTCTGCCGGGGAGCGCACTGGGGGGCTCCCCTGAACTCACCCCTGTGGGACACTCCATGCGCTCCAGCATTGCAGTGTTCATGAGCCACACCCGGTATGTAGAAAAAACATATAAAGCTGTGTCTATGTCCAAATAGCTGATTCTCCAGATCAGCATCAAATCTTCAGATTCGGCCAAATTGAATCGGGGACAGTGATCCGCATCAATGAATTGAATCACTGTCCTGATTAAGGCCAAATCCAAATCAAGTATGGCCTGTTTTGCAAACCCCTGGGAAGGGGCTACGGGGAGGTGGAGGCTCCTGTTGTCCTGGGTAAAAAGTGAAATTGTACCCTGCTGGGGAAGGGTGGCCTGGTGGGGCTCCTAGTGGCATGGGAGTCCCCAGGAAATGCCAGGCCAGTTGCCTCCCTGGTGAAAGCCCAGAAGGGGCACCTTATAACCCCAGCCTCACATCCCTGGTGGCGCTTCAGCAGAGCAGGGGGAACCCAGGCTCATTAGGAGCCCTGAAGCAGAGTCCAGGCCAGAGGAGGGACCTTGAGCTGCACCCAGGCAGCAGGGTAAAGCTTGGGGGCATGAGTAGAGATGCTAAGAGAGAGGGACCCTGAGAGAGGGACGATGGAGAGAAAGGCTCTGTGAGCAGACGAGTGAGTAGAGGCCCCGAGAGAGGGGCATAGTGGAGGGGCCCAGTGATGGGGGGTATGGAGGCCCGGTGAAGGGCTAGGAGTGAAGTAGGCTAACAGTTGTAGAGTCGCTCAGCAAACATTCAGATGAGGGCAGCGAGAGATGCCTGATAGACTGTGCTGGGGCTGACTGAGGCATGGAGAGAGGAGCCCAAAGCCGGGTAAGGCCGGGTGGTATGAATGTGGCCCAGGAGAGAGGGCAGACAGCATGAAAGAGGATGGGTGAGCAGGGCCACCCCTGGGGGGTGGTGCAAATTGGGGCAACTGCCCCAGGCCCCACACTTTGCAGGGTCCTGCGGATCTGGGCGGAGCGGCTGTGGCAACTCTGCACTGCTGCTTGGCTTCACATCTGGCCCCCCCGCCTCCGCCAAATTTGTCGCCATCTTCCTCGCATTTGTTGGGGGGGCCCCGCACAGGCTGATTTGCTCTGGGCCTTGCACTCTGCTCGGGTCATCTCTGTGGGTGAGAGCCAGTGGAGTGAATGGGACTCTCATGAGAGAGGGGTGACATGGGAGTGGCCCTCTGGGATAGTATAGTAGAGCTACAGCTGTGTGCCCAGTTTGCTCTGGACCTAGGCTGGAGAGGTAACACGAAGTGGAACGTCTTCGAGGCATGGGGCACGCACAGGGGTGGTCAGAGCATGCACGTGTGAACCTAGTCATCAGGGCAGACAGAAGGTAGTCTCCTGCTCAAATAACAGCTGAACTTTATTTTGCTCAAGGTGTGGCAGGGAAGTGGAGTGGGCAGATTGCCCAGAGACAGGGGAAGACTGGAGGTGAATACCTGGCTGGGAAGGAAACCCTGTTACAAAGACATTTCACATCAGGTCTGATCGGAAGAGCGAGGCACAGCATAATAAAGAACCATAGTGGGAGAGGGTGAGAGAAACTCAAAAGCTTGTCTACTTAGTACACAGTTGGTCCAATAAAAGATTTCACCCTAAGAAATCGTTTCCCCTTTCATAATTTCTGGACCACCGTGGCTACAGCATCACTCTTATGCTACAGTAACCACTCTACACATATTGAAAGCAGATAAAGATCTGGGTAATCTGTTCTACGTATGTGTAGCTCTGCTCAGTTGCTTGTAGTATGGCAAACTTGGATTTTCAGGTACTGATACACTAACTAAAGACAGTGGTAAAATAAAGACAGCGTGTCCTGAAGTACAGTTTCATTGCAATTCATATTCATCTGTTGGCCTTATCGGTTGAGAGCTGTTATGAATATTCTGCACCTGAACACCTGACATTTTTGTTTCAGATCATTCTTTCCCATACATTAAACACATTTTGTACTTAAATAAATGGTTCTTCATCATTCTCCACTAATGTGGCTGGTCCAACGAGAATTGATAATGTTACGAGCATTCGTGGTGCTCTGGTGTGGTGCCAGAGGACTGGAAGAGGGCCAACGTGGTTCCCATCTTCAAAAAGGGGAGGAAGGAGGACCTGGGAAACTATAGGCCAGTTAGTCTTACCTCGATCCTGGGCAAGCTTTTGGAGAGAATTATTCTGGCACATGTCCATGAGGGGCCAGCAGGGGAGATCATGCTTAGGGGCAACGAACACGGGTTCATTAGCGGCAGGTCCTGTCAGACGAACCTGGTGGCTTTCTACAACCAGGTCACCAAATCCTTAGATGCAGGGGTAGCAGTAGACGTAGTCTTCCTTGACTTTCGGAGGCCTTCGACACTGTCTCTCACCCCGTTCTCATTAAGAAACTGGGGGACTGTGGTGTCAACACCCACACAGTCAAATGGGTCACCAACTGGCTGGAGGGCCGCACCCAGAGTGGTGGTGGATGGGTCATTTTCCATCTGGAGGGATGTGGGCAGTGGGGTCCCCCAGGGCTCGGTCCTTGGGCCCGCGCTGTTCAACATCTTCATCAGTGACTTGGATGATGCCAAGATGAACATGGGCAGGCAGTGTGGGGATGCAGTCAGGAAGGCCAACCGTACCTTGTCGTGTATCCACAGATGCACATCGAGCAGGTCCAAGGAGGTGATCCTCCCCCTCTATGTGGCACTGGTCAGGCTGCA